TAACTTAGTGAAATTTTAACCTATTTTGACAAGGTTTTCTACCCAACTTCAAGGCCATTTTCCATACACTTCCACTTGGAATTTCAATTTGCATTTCAAATATGGATTGTAGTACACATTCCAAGATTTCCAAAATGTCCAAGAACTTCCCAAACAACCTCATAACTTGAGAGAATCGAATTTCACAATTTGGCAAAAAACCACTTTTAAATTGATCATGAACATGTTCATAACTTAAGCCATTTTCAAGTCAGCATAGTTTATGCTAAATTACAGGTCCTAAAACCCTTTGACACTCAATAATTCAATGCAAAACCTTTGTGCCAAGGCCTTGTTTCATGAGTTCAAGCATTGCCTAAAGGATTAATCCCAAAATAGATAAAGCATTTCTTCCATTTTTGCAAAAGTTAACTTTATGTCCAATTGAAAATCCAAGAAGTACAATTAAGATCTCTTTGGCACAAGTTTAGGGATTAATCACACTGATCAAGACTGAGTTATGCAGCATGTTATGGGGGGCTCTAGCTGCCTAAACACCAACTTGACCTTTTTTGCTTAAGTGCTAAGAAACCTTGCATTGTTCAACACAACTCTCATATCAGCTTGAAAACACTTAAGTGAACTTGACAAACATACTCAAGACATCTCAACCAAGCTATTGCACGACCCTAACACCTCTCATACACCCCAAATCCCAGAATCACCTTCAAACTGCAAAAACAGGGTCAGGCCTGCAGTTTGAGTGCCATCTTCCATTTCCCTCAAGCTCTCTTGCCCAAACCAGTTCACACACATTCCCTAGCATCTATGCAAGCTAACCATGACTTGAAACACGACCTGTAATCCCTCTAACCAGTTCCACCATTTTCAGTTTCTTGTTTTGCAGGTGAAGTGCTCTAGCACGATTCAAAAGCTTTCAAGACAAAGTAAACATTGGAATAGCATCCCTGGACCTCAAGGAAGCTTTTCCAATCATCACCTTGCACTGAAAGCTTCCTCATTGCCAGATAGAACTTCAACTAAACAGGTATTTTGGTGAACTTCTATCTCTCTTATTAAGCATCATTAGCTCTAAGTTTGTGAATAAACAATGTTCTACTCATGCCACTGAACATGTACATACTTTCACTTTTCATTTCTTTTGCCTGAGCTGTGAGAATTTAAGGTTTAAAAATGGCAGAAAATCTAGGTTAGGATTTGGGGGAGAAGAAATTCTCCCTCGTCTTAGAGAGTTAGATCAAGTTCTGCATATGGTTGGATTCGTCTCTTGATGCTGAACATTTTTTATGTTATGAGTTTTCAATAATAAGCCAGGAATCAGGAAGTGTGGATGGAAGAACAGGGCACGCGTTTTTTGAATAACATGGTTCAGAGGTTGAAGAAAGGTTCCATTGGGCTGGGCTTGCTTTGTGTTTTCTCTTTGCACCATACAATCTGTTCTGAACCCCCTGAGCCCATTTGCTTTATTTTTAATGTTTTTTGACTTTTTCTTTTTTTAATTGACTCATTTATTTTTTCTCAGCATATTAAAAATTTTAAAAATATTTTTCTCACCACTTTTGAATTTATTAGGTATTTACTTGATTTTTTCTTTTAGTTTGAACATAAATAAATAAATATATATGTTTTGTTTAAAATATTAAAATATTGGAAATATATTTTTACACCCTTTTATTTTGTTCTACTTTCTGAAAATATTTTATAGAAAAAAAATACTTGTTTATTATTATTAAATATTAAATATTATTAATTAGTACATATAATATATCTTTTGTAAATAATATAAATAAATAACTTATACATTAGTATACTTAGAATAAAATACCAAAAAATGTACATATTTTATTTTTTAATATTTAATACTAAAAAATACAATTTTTACAAATACACTATATTTTATTTTATCATTATGTAAATAGTAAATATTATATGAATTAATTGATTAATATCCCTTTTTGATTAAAAATTAGGGTTTTGCCCTAAATTTGAAAATACTCCAAAAATAATACCTTTTTATTTCTCTTTTTATTTTCACATAAATAATATTCTTTTTTTTATACACATAAAAATTCTTTTTTTACATTTTGCATATTTATTTCAACTTCCATTTAATTATACAATTATTTGTCTTGTAAATATTCAAAGAAAATGATGTAATAGTTAGGTTTAAATTCTTGTCTAAATATACCCCATTTGAAACATTGTATCCCCCTCCCCATATTATTGTGTTGTAATAGTGTAGGAATTTAAATTTCGCACTTTAATGCTTTCTAAACCTACCATGCTAGAATTAGGGTTTGTATGCGAATAAAACGAACAAAATAGTTTGACCTAATACAAGACAAAAAAGCATGGAAAATGGACAACACATTTCACACTTGCACCCCTAGGGTATTCCACTTTGTTGCCTTCAAATAATTGGGCCATATTGCATGTTGAATTTCTTTGGGTAAAACAAACAATCAAATGATCATAGTCCCTCAAAATGTTGCCTAAATGAATGATCAAGTCCCTTTTTAAAGAAAAATTGCCCAAAGACATTTAACACTATTGCAATTATGTTCTAAACGATGACCCGCGCCCGTCCCTTTTACCTCCTAAGACAAGATTGTCCACCAAATACAATGGTGGAACAAAATTGTCAAAAGGTTTAAAACATAACAAAAATCCTTGAGAAAACTTTAGGGTAGATAACTCTTAGGTACTTGCCAATTTACAAAGAAAACACTTGCCTAATTTCAAAACCCACTTCACAAACACTTTCAAAATCAACTTTCAAAAAACCTTGAAACATCTTTTCAAAAGACAAAGCACCTTTTGTAAAACATTCGAGTAAAGAATTGTTACAAGGGTAGCCTATACAAGGCATCTTTTCAAAACATTTTCAAAACCACACATCAAGCACCATTTCAAACAATTGAAAACCAAGGCAAGTTGATCTAAGCAAGTACCTAAGAGCCCATGGATAACCATGGATAGAAAGGGTGCTAATACCTTCCCTTTCTATAATCTACTCCCCGAACCCAAGAAAAATCTCAAAGGTTTTTGCTGTGCTTTTTAAACCTTTCCTTAGGATAAAATAAAAAGTCGGTGGCGACTCTTGCTCAACCGAAACATTTGCGAAAACAAACGCAAAACCCTAGTCAGTTCTCCCACCGTATCACAGTATATATATATATATATATATATATATATATATATATATATATATATATATATATATATATATATATATATATATATATATATATATATATATATATATATATATATATATATATATATATATATATATATATATATATATATATATATATATATATATATATATATATATATATATATATATAATATTTAGTATTTAAATTACATTTGGTATTTGGATTAAAACTAATATATATTGGTATTTCTAGATTAGATTGTAAAATACCGGTTTAAGAATTACAGGTTTGCTGCAAAAAAATGCAGGTTTAGAAATTTTTTAAATTTTAGATTTTTCAGTAGAAAACCTATGAAAGCGCTTTTAAGAAAAAAGCGCTCTCGTAGGCCTACCTATGAAAGCGCTTTTTGATTAAAAGCGCTTTCATAGGTAGGCCTACGAGAGCGCTTTTTTCTGAACAAAAAGCGCTCTTATAGGCCTACTTTAGATTGCCTGACACGCATTCTGAATACACCTATGAAAGAGCTTTTTCAGAAAAAAGCGCTCTCGTAGGCCTACCTATGAAAGCGCTTTTTACCAAAAAGCGCTTTCATAGGTAGGCCTACGAGAGCGCTTTTTTCTGAACAAAAAGCGCTGCTAAAACCTTTAGCAGCGCCACCTACAAGAGCGCTTTTAAGCGCTTTTAAAGTCTAAAAAAAGCGCGTTCGTAGGTTTTTTCTGGCATAGTGACACTAAACAGAAAAATTATTCTCTTTTTCCACTCTGCAACCCTGTCATCAACCAACTTTATTTTCCCCCTTTAATATAGCGACGTGGCTATCACGTCGCTACCAAAATTCAAATTTCCCCCTTCTGTAGCGACGTGTAAGACACGTCGCTGATGTTTTTACTTTACAACGTTCTCTGATTTTCTTTATTTGCCATTAAAATATATTAGCGACATGGTTATCACGTCGCTACTACTCACGTGATATCCACGTCGCTAATATATGTCGCTGGGGACATATATTCTTGTAGTGTATGTTTTGAATAAAATCTATATTTAATTTAATACTTTTAAGAAAAATTATTAAAATGACGTTAGTTTTTTAAGATATGTTAAATTCAAAATTAATCGTTATATTAGACAAAAATAATAATATTATATATTTTGTAATGTTAAAAGACTAATATAAACTATTTTAAATTAAGAGACTAAAATATTATTATTTTAGTCGCTTAATTAACATATAGGTAAAAAAGAATATTAGATTTAAAAAAAATTAAATCACAAGACAAAAAATATTTAATATTTCATTCATTTTTTATTATAAGTCATTTTAAAAAAAAATTATACCACAGTTACAATATCAATAAATCATTAATACTATTATGAGAAATATTTGTATGAAAACAAATCTAAATCTATATAGTCGAAAATATTTAATAAAAAAAATATTTAAAATTTATTTATAATTTAATTTAATTTTTAATTTAATTTATGAGGTGGTTGTGATAGGATAGGAGAGAAAAAATTTATTTTTATTTTTTAATTAATAAAAAAATTATGATTGACTGTTTATAAAACCACTTATTATATTCGTTTTCATGTAAGTATTTATTATCTCTATTTTATCAATTACTTAAATTTCTTCTTCAACAATTTTATAAAATCTTTCATAATTTTTTATACAATACTTATTAATTATTATACTTTTTTAGTAAGAGTGAAAAGTCCAAAACTATGCATGAGAATTAGAGGAAATTGACAAGTCCCATACAACTAGGCACCAGTATATATACATATGACATGGTTCCTTAAAAAGTTAGGCCTCACGTAAGTTTGTGCATGTGAGCCGCCATGTCTGTGTCGCTACGCAATGCTGCTACTACTATTCTCTCTTTGCATCTCCTTCTCTTCCTTGTTAATGCTAACTCATCTATAGATTCATACAAAACACTCAAAATGATCTTCAACCCAAACGCCACTGTCCCACAATCACCTCCACGCACACCCGCTTTCTTCAAAGACTTCACCATCAACCAATCAAAACATACTTGGGCTAGAATCTACCTTCCCCGCAAACCAAACTCCATAAAGCTACCCCTCATTTTCTTCTTCCACGGCGGCGGCTTCCTTTTCTACAGCCCCGCTACAGCTTACGTCCACAGCTTTTGCACCGACCTCGCCAACAAAACTCAATCCGTCGTCGTTTCACTCAACTACCGCCTCGCACCACAGCACCGTCTTCCTGCGGCGTATGAAGACTCCGTGGAGCTTCTTCGCTGGATTAAAACCTCAAACGACTCATGGTGGAAACGTCATGCTGATTACTCAACATGTTATCTCATGGGTGAGAGTGCTGGAGGTAATATCGCATACAACACGGGTCTACGCGCGGCTGCAATAGTTGATGAGATTAAACCGGTTATCATCAAAGGGTTGATATTGATTCAACCGTTTTTTGGTGGGACAAAGAGGACACCATCTGAGTTAAGGCTTGAGAAGGGTACGAATCTACCTTTGACTGTTACTGATTCGATGTGGGAATTGTCTTTACCCGTAGGTGTTAATCGTGACTACGTGTATTCTAATCCAACGGTGAATGGGGGTGATAAGGTACTGGAGAAGATTAGTTTGTTTGGGTGGAAGGTTGGGGTTTTTGGGTGTGATGGGGATCAACTTGTGGACCGTCAGAGGGGATTTGTGAAGTTGCTTGAGGGTAAAAGTATCCATGTTGTTGGACGATTTTATAGTGGGGGTAGACATGGTATTTTTATGGATAATAACACCATGTCTGAAAAAGTGTTCGATCTAGTCAAGAGTTTCAATTCATGAATTATGAGTAATGCAGTCAATACTTTGTCATGTATTCCTATGTGAGAATAAACCAACCCTATCTATCATCACTACCCTATCTATCATCACTATTTGTAATGGTAAACAATGAATTTTAACAAGAGGCGTACACTTCTCTTATTTTAATGGTACATCTTGTGTAATGAAATATTTTATTTTAATGGTACATCTAATATATGAAATATCTTGGTTCCAATAATGTTTGCATTTTGAAATTTTGCATTAACATTTTGAAATTTCTAACATGTCTCATAGCTTTGATACGCAACAGCAGCACATGCTTTGCTGTATCAGGTTCAGGCATGTCATTACACCAAAGACATATAGGACACCAACTGAGTTAAGGCTTGAGATGGTACGGATCTGTAAACAAGAGAAAAATCTTTATTATCATCACTACCCTATCTATCATCACTGTTTGTAATGGTAAACAATGAATTATAACAAGAGACGTACACTTCTCTTATTTTAATGATACATCTAGTGTAATGAAATATCTTGGTTCCAATAATATTTGCATTTTGCAACTTTGCATTAACATTTTGAAATTTCTAACATGTCCCGTAGCTTTGATACGCAACAGCAGCACATGCTTTGCTGTATCAGGTTCAGGCATGTCATTACACCAAAGACATGTAGGACACCATCTGAGTTAAGGATTGAGAAGGTACGAATATGTAAACAAGAGAAAAATCATTATTATAACCATCACCCAATGATTCTAATTAAAAAGAAATTATATTTAAAATAAATTTAAAATAACACCATCTTATTGGTTGTATCTATTTCTAAGAATAAAGTTTATGTTCGTTTTCATACAAGTTTATCTCTATAAATAATGAGTTATAACAAACATACATTCCTCAATCATTTTTTATTCGGTACGGACGGCTAGTTTGGTTTAAGTCATTAACGAATTTGTTTAATTTATATACTATATTGTTAGGAACCTTTAGGCCAGAGAGACACTTCCTATATACTTTTTCATCCAAGTCCCCATGAAGATAGACAATATTTATGCCTAATTGATGAAGGTGTCGGTTTAAAGAAGACGGTGTCGGTTTAAAGAAGACGCAATAGATAACAATAACTTGATGGTATTCAGAGTTAAAAAGGCGTGCTTAAACGCATCAAAGATCGATTGAGGTATGCAGTAATAAGGTTGTGATGTATGCATCCTTAATCCACGCCTTCCCAGGCAGTAATAGATCATGCACGTTCATGATCTAATACACGATAGATTGTCCTGCAAAACCGTTTGCAAGTCACTTGTTGTGAAATACTCGAATGTTCTCTTTTTTTTTTTTTTTATAAATATTTTAAACAAGATATATCGATAAGAGAACTAAGAGTTCTCAACCCGATTACAAAAAAGCAAGCATAAATTCGACAAAAGAAAAATTACTAACCAATTACACTTACGAGAGATAAAATAAATGATCTATGCTAAGCTCGTAAAAATTACGATTGAAATGAGTAACATCTCCGATTAAAGACCATCTTCAAACCATGACTTTAATGTCTAAAACGACATCAAGAACATTCCACTCTTCGTTTTAAATATACTCCTGTTTCTTAACATCCAAATGTTCCAATAAATAGCCAACCAAATGCAACCTTCTTTACTAACTCTCACTTTTTTTGACTTGCAAAAGAAAGACCACTCTAAAAAACTACCTTTGAAATTTATAGTCGGAAGCACCTTAAAACCGATCCACTCCGCTATCTCTGACCACACCAAAAACACAACCTTGCAAAAAAGAAGAGAATGATCCAAACTTTCCTCTTCAGCATGACACATAACACATGGTAAATCATTTGCGGGTAGGTTTATACCTCTAATTCTCAATAAGTACCTCGTTGAAAATCTATTGATAAAAATCCTCTAACCAAACACCATGATTTTGAAGGGAACCTCCGCCCTCCAAACTAACTCCAAAGCAACATCGAACTGGTTATAGGGACCATACGGAAAATTGTAACCTTCAATTAAGTTGTAGAAAGAGCGAACCGAAAAGCAACTTTCAGACTGAACAACTCAGGAAATTAGGTCTTTCTTAGCGGCCGCTAGAGCAGCCTGAGCCAGCAGAGACCGTAACTGCAGATTAGCAATAACCTCCACATTGTCCTCCTCCGAGATACCGAACCCGTCCCACTGCCATTACCCTCCGGTTCAGCTACCCATCCCTACAAAAACAACATTATGTAAAGGAGAAACCGAATACAATGCAGGAAAAAGAGCCTTCAAGCTGCTGGTAATGCCTTCAAACCATATCGCGTGCCAGAACGAAGTCGAGAACCCACAACCATTATGAAACCTGCTTTTTTTTTTACAAAAAACATCTTCGTGTATTTTTTTCTCGAGCGATAAAATGTCCTTCCACCAAGTTGAACTAGAAATTCTGCAATTGTTAGTGTTCCCCGCATTCACCACCTTTAAATTAATATCACTGTAGTAGACTTTTAAGATATTATACCAAAGAAAATCCAATCCTTCTAATATCCTCCATCTCCATTTGTGGAGTAAAGCCAAATTGAAGTGGTCGATCCTTTTTAAACCAAGCCCTCCTTTTTCTATCGGTAAACAAACATCATTCCAACTAACCCAATGGACTCGTTTACGCTCTTCCGTTCCTCCCCAAAGAAAATTAATATGGATTCTAGTAATTTCTTTAACAATTTTCACCGGCGCCTAATAGAAAGAAATGAGAAAAATCTAAAGAGAACACAACACTGATTTAAGAAGAGTGATTCTACCTCCAAGACTAAGGAAACGACCCTTCCAACTTGAAAGCCGATTCTTCATCTTAGAAATAAGTGAGTGCCACATCAAAATCCTTCTAGGATTGGAACCAATCGGAATCCCCAGAAAAGAAAACTCTTTGCCTTCCAGTCCGCAAGATAAAAAAGTAGTAGCTGCCTCCAAAAACTTTTCACTCATATTGATACTAATTAATTTGCTTTTGTGATAATTGAATATGAGACCCGAATCTAATTCAAATTCCCTAAAAACCGCTTTGATAGCCCACACATGGTTCCAACTCCTGTCTCCTACCAATAAGGTATCATCCGTAAATTGGAGGATATCAATGATACGCTTACCATTAACATTGAACCAAGTTGTTAGTTCTCTTATTTTAGGATTGGCTACTTTTTTTGTAAAACAAATAATAGCAGCAATAATGTAATGTAGAATATGATGTATAAACTTTCTAAGAAGAACAAGTACAACAAGAATCCCTATTACAATGTCAGAACATGTTGTGTTGAACTTTTTCAACAACTGGAGTAACATGTCAAAAAAGATGTCTTGACATCGCGCCTGCTGAGCTGGATTAATGAGATTCAGTTTGTTCTTAACATAGGCAGAATATTCAGGAGAATATTATGCATCCTATGTGGTACATATTTAAAGGTCCATAAATTTCAATCAGAAATCAAGGAGAATGAAGACTTTCTAAATAAAGAGATTATTTAGGAAAGTAAAGATTGAAGACCTTTCTTGGGGCAAAAGTTTTTGCAGTTTGTTACAACTGATTTTCTGTGATTGAAGGTCCAAAAACAGTTGAGTAACAGGTTATAAATAAAATGGTTTGTAACCTAGAAAAGATACGGCTCAAGATGTAGAAATCTAGGGTTTTGTCAAGGTAAACCTTCTGGGTTGTGGGAAGGTTACCAAGTTCGCCTTGAAGCTTGTAGGTAAGAGGTGTATTGTTCTTGGAGGAAGCTTTAAAGACTCCAAGATGTGTTCTTAATTAGGATCAAAGCTAAAAAACAATGGAATTTGGCTTGGATACTTAACTAGCTTGTCATGGAAGTGTATCTTCCAAACTGTCTATCTGTGTGATCAGAATCTTGGTGAAGGGACATCGATGCAGTGACTGAGGTGTTGACTGCTAGACATCATTGCGATGATTGGAAGTGGGATGGGGATATTCCATATCTATGGAGGACCTATGTAGAAGGGTCATTGGGTAGTGATTAAGTGCATAGATCGTCAACAGGTGTGTTGGCTGTAGGGTCTGCAAATTGATACTGCTGATAGTGGACTTCATTTATGGCTTGGTATCCCCAGAGTAGGTGTTGTTGTACACCAAACTGGGTAAACAATTCTGGAGTGTTCTTTATCTTTTCAGTACTGTTTTATCTTGCCTTTGTGTTTATGTCAGATCAGATGTCTCAACATCCTTATAGGACATCTGAGTCTGTTGTACCAGAATTTCAATTGGTATCAGAGCTGGCATCCTATTCTCCTTTGGGTGAGATCCCGGGAAGGTACTTTCTGGTCATGGGCAAAGAAGAAAGTATTTACTGAAAAGAGGTATGAACTTGGACAATTCATACTACTATATGGATGATCTCTTGGGAAGTATCATTGGTTATATGTGACAAGTATTGTTCCTGGCTGTTGGCGCCAGCTTAGTGGGAAGCTGTTGTATGTAGGGTTTAGTGGTGTAAGCATTGTATCTGAATATTGTTGAGGAGTTCGTTATTTTCCACTACATGGTTTCTGATATAACCCTGATAGTATGGGAAGGATACTAGGGTTGTTACCCTCAATAGAATATATGCTGACATTTTCAACCGTATTAAAACTGTCAAAGATACTTGAGATTTTACTCAAGTTCACTCATAAAGACATCTATCAATAAGGTTGATAAGAATCAATTGATTAATGATGCTCATATACATCTGCATATTGACCTTGAAGACTATCAAGGATAGTGTGTTCCAAGAAGAAGGAACTGATGTTCTATGGGATGTTAGACCATTATTTCAGCAGGTATGCAACTACCAGTTGAAGAACAAATGCTTTGGGTACTGAACAAAATTTTTATGAATACTTTTTGTTTGGAACCTACTCCTGATCTGGAAGAGGAGGCATATGGTTTGTGCAGGTTGATCAGGACACGATCAACAATTTATCTACTCCATGTGTTAGTTTATTTCTGACCAAGGCTTATGGGAGTATAGAGGTT